AATATGTACTTAACTGTATATCTTCATATAAATATATATGTATGTTAAGGTATCACCATTAAAAATGTAACCTATTCCGCGCATTCCAATCGATTGCCAAGAAAATGTCATCTTTGAAGGCAACTCTCTTGCATTATTTATATTTATCTACAGGTTTAGGTGAATCGTAAAAGGAGAGACTGTTATATAAATTACGTACGAAAATGAATGTTTGATGATCAACATGTTTCGTTTTTAAATTATATTGTGTTTGCATTTCAATTAATCAATTGTCAATATTTGATATTTTGTCATATCCACCACAGTGACAGTGATATATCGCTATGACAGTTCCTTATGATTTTTCTTAATAAAATTTAATTTGTGTGATACGTTTTCAAAAAGCAGAAAACGAAGCAAAAAAGACAAGAAGAAGAAGAGGAAAAAGAAGGGAAAAAAAACTTGGGAACTAACAGAATTAATCACCTAAACTTTTTGTTAAAGTCATTTGCATATAAATTTTTTTTTTTTTACGAAACGCACACATACGTAAACAAATAAATATACATATGCATATAGACAATCGCACACGTGAACATAATTCGTATCCTCCTGTATTAGGATCATTTTATTGATTGTCGAACGAAACACACAGTAACTCTCTGCCAACAACAACTGTCAATTGTGGGATCTTCTTGGCTTTTCTGCTTTTTCTTTTTTCAGCTCAAAATGTTTCAAAAGTAAAATTCACTGAAACCTTAAGCCTGCTGTTGGTAAGATGGTTGGCTAAGCAGGCAGCCAGTCATCTGGTTAACAGCAGCATCAACTCATTAAAACGACAATTTTTACAAAACTCCAACAAACAGCCATGCATCACCTCCATAGCTGCTGAAACTACAAACGAAAAAATAACAAAAAAAGTTTACCAACGTTTTTAAGGATTTCCACGAAATGTCCAACAATGCGATACATTTGCATGCGCGTATATATGCAATATGCATTTACATACGAACTCAAGTTTTCGTTTGTATGCATACTGTGGCTTTTTTAAGTCGCATCTGCTATACTCAGAGATGTGCACAATCACTGAAAACCCCTGAAGCTCAAACAAGTTGAGCGTAAATTCAGCGCAATTCCATAAAATATAAATCATTCTCCTCCTATGTTTTCAACGCCCTCACTATTTTAGAGGATATTTTTTATGTTCACTATGCCAAAGGCTAGAGTCCGAACGCTTAGCTTTTGGAGAAACTTGTTATATTGGCCCCTTTAATAGCTAGAGAGCTGATGCTAACCTCTCTTTATTCCTAAAATCAGTTGTAAATATCTTTCCAACATTCCAGCATTTCCCATTAGGACCACTTTCTAATCGTAATTATTTGAAGTTTGCAAGTCGATACCAATGGACGACAACAATGGGGCCAAGTTGGGCAAGCACTGAACACAATATCAGTTCGTCTAAAAAGTTTTAAGACTACATATGACTTGAAATCTTAGTAGGACGGACCTATTTGGAAGATCTTAGATATTAGTTATCAAAGTACACAACTTGATGCCAGTCGATAAAAGATTGAGAAACATTAAGACTGGTTGATCTGCCGAGTACTGAAGGTAATATCGATTAGGGTAAATAGCATTGTTTCTTTCGCAGCCGTTAGGTCTTTATTAAGCTCCGTTTCCCATCTCATTCACACAAGTTTATACCTGAACCATAGCAGTTGACGCCTGCCAGCACATATTACAACTTACAAGGTGTAAGTTTTACTGATCTGCCGAACCTTGCGGATAATATTGGTTACCCTAAAACGTATTGACCCCTTACTTGTTAGAGTTCTATTAAGACTCACGTAAGAGCTCTTATGTTATATTCACTTACTATATTACATAAGTTCATTGAAAACCATTAATAAGAAAAAGCGCACGTCCTCCAGTACATTTTCCTGTAAAATCAACGCATTTTTTAGCTAATTTCTAATGTGTTTATAAAATCGTTGAAGTAAGATAAAAGAATCTTTTGCCTTCCATTTAGAATTAGGTTCAAGATATCCGAAAACCAAATCAGGAAATTACTGCAACTTTACTGCTGACAGGCCATCAAAATGTCTCAAAACATTACTTAAATATCCTTCTTTATGACATTCCTCTCTACATTTATTCAGATATGCCTGTAAAATCTAACTAATGTTAGCTCTAATACAGAGCTAAACTGATCCTTAAATGCTTATAATTTGTTCTGTTAAAAGTACTAAAAAAGCTGCTTGGGCGACCATTTAATCCCACTTCGAAGGTAATATTCGAGGACAGAGGATATATTAATTACGTTTGATTTGGAACCTCCCAAGTATTTCTAAAATCTGGCACTTTTTTGTATGTGTAATCAGAGTTAGAGTTGCGCAGCCTGTCAACCTATATATATATGCGCAATCTGGAAAGTATCTAAGGGTAAATGTGTATCCAAAGTTCGAGTTCAATATTTCAGATTTTAGATATTCAAATGACACAATTGACAGGCGGTTATGACTAAATTGTCTTAAAAATATTGCGATTTCCAAGAATTTATATATATTTCAAGCAGCAAACGGCATGAAAACTGTAATATGTTTGCACACAAAATATCATATCTGACTTACTTTACGTACTTGGCGGATAGTTGAAATAGTTTAAGAACAAATATGGAGACAGATTTTTAATAGGTTACGTTAAGAAGCATAGGCGCCGACGCGGCAAGAAATTGATCACAAGCAATTTTTCTTATCTTATTTATTAAGAAGACAAAACATTCCCTTACATAATAGATGCTTGCATTTGTTTTGTTCATTGTATCGCTTGAACAAGGCTTTTATTAGGAAAAACCGGTATAATATATACCAAAATATTGTCCAGCAGTTTGTACAAGTTTTTTCCATCTTTCGAAAAAGCGATATTGCTTTGGCAGCGATCCAACCATCGACACATTTTTGCACTCCTTCAGCTTTATGGATCGCATGCCAGCCAAGCCATGCTGCATCGATGTGACTAAGTGGTAACCCGAAGGCGTTATGTACAATTATTGCGGTGAGAGCGGCGCAACTTCTCATTCCAGCTCCAACATTGTATTCCTGACGGCTCTTGTAATGTGTGGCCGAAATCGCAATTTCAGTTAATTCGTATGATCATCACTTTCCGTCCGTTTGTATCTTTCTCATCGCATGTAAACGTTTAGACATAGTTGTTGAGAAAGTTCTTTGGCGGCCGGAACTGGATTTTTTAAATCGTTGAAGCCTAGACCGTTTGAGATATGCCGATCCAGCATCACCATTAGCTTCTACAAATCAAACAACAAGCGTAATGAATGTCGAAAATGCAATTTTGAGCTTTCCATGATTAACGTATGGTCGCAATAGTACTACAGAAGTTCCAATGTTTTTAATTTTTTTTTTTTTAATTCACGAATATTTTTTACTAATAGTTTTTCAATTGCAACGTGGCTTTACAGATATGATTTGTGAACATAACAATTTGATTTGAACAAAATGATAAGCAATTGAATATGTGTAACTGATAACCAAACCTAACCAAAAGTTGCGTAACTTTTAAAAAGAAATGAAAAATTGCTATACTCTCTGATAGAAGATACGATAAGTGATTCAGTCAAAACACAGTGATATCTGAAGCTATTGATAAGCTTGCAGTTCCTACTATATACATAAGTTGGAGCCTACTTAACTGAGAGTTATGTATATAGATTTCTATATAAATTGTTGAAGATGTTAAATAATTTTTTTTTTGCGCTTTTATTAAACATCCTAAACAAGCCAAATAATGAAAAGATTCTCACAAGAAACGAAAAAGGAAAAAAAAGTATAAGCAAATGCTGTAGACTGACATTCAGGTTCACCATTGATCTGTCAAAGCAAAGCTAAACTAAAACATATGTGGCCTTCGCATCAATGCAAACAAATGCGCTCTTAAATGTATCACAAATTTTTTTCTGAAAGTAAAGAAAGATATACTTAAAGTTTCTTCGATTTATATGCATATCATGCATTTGGTAGCATCGTAGTAATTAAGTGGTGGCTACGCACTAAGAGAAAAAGTAAAGCAAAAATAAAAATAAAATATAAAAAAAAAAGTCAAAGGAAACCTAAAAAAAGCCAAAAATTAAAGGTATTACATAAACAAACAACGACGCATACAATATACATAGAACGTGCACACATACACGTTCTATAGCGAAATAAAGATGTGGGTAGATTCGAAAGGAAGAAAAAAGCAGCAGACAAAAAAAAAAAAAAGTGTAGATAGGGAAACCCATCCAATTTAAATCAGAAACATCGATACTTCGCCTCATATCGGACAAAGGGCAACGTGGTTGTATTTACAGACAAATATATATATATATATATATATATCGCTACATACATATATATATATATATATATATAGCTATATAGATATATATACAAGTGTGGATACTCTCATGGTTACACATTTTTAAAATTTTTCATGTCTTCAGGTTTAGCTTGTTTCCTTGCATTTTTGTTATTGGTTTTGTGATTCTTTGCAATAACACGACACATGCCTAACGTAAATAAATTAAGTTGTTAACATGACAATTCAGCAAAACAAGGCTAAGACGTTGTTTTACAAAACGTCATTACTGTTCGTTCTTGTATTTTGTATGTTTCGTTAAACTACGGATTAACTATATAAATGAAAGTATCTTTTAAATATGTTACGTTATCCGTTCCTTTCTTTCATTTTTTTTTTTTTTTTTTTTTTTTGTTTGTTTATTTGTTTGTTTGTTTGGTTATCTAAGTATCTAAGTGGATACTAAAGTACTTAAAAAAAGAAAAGAAAACCGTATCTCATGCTTGAATGACTGAAAGTCAGTCAAAATAAATTAGTTTTTGGAACTTTTTTTTTTTTGTTTTTATTTTTGCTTTTTTTTTTTCCTCCAAAAACATGTAATTTTCCACAAAAATTTGATGCATTTCCTTTTTCTTATTTTGTTTTTTTTTTACGCTTAACTATCTTTACAGACCCTGCAGTCATTACAAAGTGCCGCCAAAAGAGCGGGGACTTCGTGTGCAAACTGCAAAACCACAACTACAACCCTTTGGCGGCGTAATGCGAGTGGTGAACCAGTATGTAATGCCTGTGGCCTCTACTACAAGTTACATAACGTAAGTGTTAGCGTTAACTTGAAATGAAATTAAATGAGAAAATAAAGAAAACAAAAAGAGAGGCAGTGCAAGTTTGCCAAACCTAAGTTTGCCTTCGATATACACATATATATATAGTTGCTCGATTACCGAGCTCACGTAGGCGTTTTAATGTTAATAACTTCCGTTTAAATATTTATCTAATATCGGATACATTATCATGTTAATGGTAATCCTGCAACATAATGTTCACTTCTCAATGCATTAATCTCAAGCACAACCATGCACAACCGTTCGCTCATTCATTCATTCATTTTCTGATGATAGTTTAATGATATCACGAGCTTATCGTATTCACAAATCGCATTTCGAACGCAAACATTACAATGCGCCGAACCATCACATCAAACATGAATGTGCTTATGTGTGGGTGAGTGTGAATGTGTGTACGCTTAACCGATTTCACACACCATTTACCACGTGCTATTTCCTTCTATTGCCGTTCTTTTATAAGGGATTCATTTCAGTTTATCGCAAAATCCCGTCGAACCAATCCACCCCCAAAAAGCTTCTTGCACCCATGCAAACGTAATGCATAAATACAAATAAATGACTTATGTGCGACGTGTGTGTAAACTAAAGGAAAAGGAAATCAAATGTGCGCGCACGCGGTCTTCTTACCATCCTCCTTAGCTCTTGTTCACTTGACTTTCTTTGCTTTTTTTGCTTTCCTCTTCGCCCCCGCTTAAACTTTCCGCCCTCTTTTCCCCCACCCAGGTTAATTATAAAAACGAAACTGAACGATTACCACTGAGCCCGATATAAGTGTGCAGGCATCGGATCATCAGTTAAATCAAATTTAATGCTTATCAGAAACAAAAAGTCACACAGCGTCAACAGCATTATTTTGCTTTATTTTGTTATTTCGTGAGGAACAACAATAAGCAATGTGGACAGAAAGAGAGAGAAAGAGAGAGAGAGAGAGAGAGTACTTCTACCGAAATTTGCCCTATCTGGCGCTATATGTTATATAAGATAAGCTGCCGCTTTAATGACACCATCACTATCATCAATCGCAATGGGTGGCTGTGCGAAAGCGATAACGTTATTTGTACTTTTGATGCGAATTATAATTTTTCGACTTTTTAAGCAAGGGGGTCAAGAAGCAGCTACTGGGCATTTCGTAAAAATTTTCGACATTTTTTTTTTTTTGGAAAATTTGTGATGAAAAATCTTTATTTATTGCAAATTAGATAAGAAGGCTAAATGAAAAAAATAGAACCAAGGCCAGTAAACAAAATTAGATCAAAATGTTTGTCATGCTTTCTATCACCTTGAGGCCTTGTTACTTTTAGTGAGAGAAAAACTTTTTCTCGCAACACATTAGAAATTTATTAAAAAAAATAAATTCTTTCATATGAAAAATATTAACAAGATATACCAGAAGGAAAAACCGCAGTGCGACTTCATTTTTCATTCGTGATTAGAAAAAAAAATCATTGTTTTAAAGTGTGAAAGGAGAAAGAAAGAAAATAATATACGCCTTAAGATATTCGCCATCAAAGTTTTATACAGTTAGGAAACTTGTTTTTAATTTTAGTAACTTTAGAACTTTAATGCTGCACGCTGCAAGTTGAACGTTACTGGCAAGTATCCAAACACTTTTGAAAGCTTTCATAATAGCCTAAGAAGCAGACAAACTACTTACCTACTTATCGGTCACAATTTGCGGCTTGGCGACTTTTCCTACACGCAAGGAATTTTGAAAAAAAAAAAACCAAATTTCTTGTACATATGAGCGTAAGCAAAGTAAACAAAGGTCTAAATCCTCCAATATACATATACAGGCACAATCTGTCCGCCGGGAAAATGCGAAGATAGCAGCGGTTTTCCTTTGTGGAAAGTCCGACTTTCTTCGAGTCGCCCTGATTCAGTTAAATATGATCAGAGCACAGGCATCGGCAACCTTTTTTTTGATCGTGTATCAAAATAAATTAAAAAGTGGGTATTGGAATAATGTACAAAATCGTTCGATAAGTTCAGGTTGTTTCTAAAATAATATATATCGTGTTCCCAGAGTGAGCAGCCACTTAACCCTAATTCTTATGATGCACATTTACTTATCCTATTCTTTCGAAACTGAAAAGAGTCACTTAAAATTATAAACTGGTTGACGTGTTGTACGGCGCCTGCACTAGAGGGGAAACCAACTTGAACAAATTGGATTGGAATTGAAGATGTTTTGAAAATCCTATTCCAATCCAAGTCGAAGCTTGAGCAGTCTGCATTTGATTCTTCTTCTTCACTCGATCACGTAACTTTATTTTAGGAACACCTCTTAAAACTACATTCCTCAGACACATATTTTTCCTCTAGATTTTGTATCAAATAAGCTTTTTCCAAATATTCGCCCATTTATTTATTGGTTCGGTTAAAGATTGGGTCGCGAAAGATGAAAATCAAAAAGGAGTTTAATGAATTTTTAAGAACACTTTCTAACTTAATTAACGACTAATCTAACGGCTTAACATAAACGTGGCCCTCATCTGTTTTAGCCTTATTGTTGTCAACGGTATGACCATAAACAAGCTGAAACCCTCTATCCGAAAAGGTCTTCATTTCTGCATGGATTCACTATTAGGGAAGCTTTCCGACTACAGAAGTGGCAGCTGGGTGAACGAGCATTATAGCGTAGGGTCTGTTGCGTCGATATTTTTCACTCAAGAACATCCTGCCAGAGATATTTTAATGCCGAGAGTGTCGTAAAGCCCTGATAGGCTTTTGTTTGCGCTTGACTTTCGAGAATGGCTGTTCGATGAATTGCAGCCCGTGTGGGTGCATTCAAATTCACGAAAGTGCGTGACGTGCGTGATTGTGGAGGTAAGGTGTTACTCAGCGATCCGACCAAAAGGAATGGCCACTTCTCATCTACCACAGAACAGGGTTGACTTAGGCCTTTATAGCTACGCATGCAAAACCCTTAGAGATATTTGTCCTAGCACTGTTTTACTGCAAAAGGCAATTTAAAGTACCGTGATAACAAGTTTTCCCGGCAAATATCCGCATTCAATCCTTAGAGATCTTAATCTTAGTTATTCGATAAAAGTGAGAAATAAAAACATTTCAAAATCCTTCGACAAAGTGCTTTCAAATTTCTGTTATGCTTATATTCTCGGTATTGCTAGCTAGCATTTGTTTTTAATGAATCTATTTAATTGCCTGTTGAAATGGCAATAAAATAACATTCGTTGGCTATTTTATCAGATGAACTAACATAAATGATATACTGCACCATATTGCTGCCGGCTCTTTGGGTGGCTTATTCCTCAACTAAATACAGCGTAAATGCATGTGTATGAGGACGCATTTGTATCTACGTATCACACTTCAAAATCAATCTAAATATATATATTCTGCATGTGCGATGTACGTTTAAATTATTTTCTACATATACGAAACGATGGTATATTAAATTTGCAATTGCTTTTGTCATGCTTAGAAAGAAACTTCGAACCCGCTATTAACTACGTATATTTATATGTACGTACATATGTACATATATGTATATACATTCGAGACGAAAACGAGATTCTGAGGCGATGTAGGCATTACAACATATTCATTAGTCTATGAGTCTATCAGCTTAGAAGACTCTATCTGCTCAGAGACCAACCAGCAGCACCTAAAAGTCTCTAAACTAATTAAAAATTGCAACATTTTTAGTCGATTTAGATATTAATTAAACTTGTGAGCGAGAGCCCGATCCACTCGCTAACAATTTTTGGAAAGGAAAATTTATTTAAGTTATATAAAAGGTGTGTAAAATTTTTTTCTAGTTTTTACATCTCATTAGAAAATGATACTAAGCTAGCGGAGAGGTTTACATAATAAACTTTCAACAGAAGGCATACCCAGTGAAGTGAAAATGTAAAGAGACGAAAAAAGTTGTATGAAAGCAAAGAGAGAAAAACCGAAAGATCTCAACTAGGTGCAGTTTAAAAATTCCAAAGACCTCACCCATTCCTACGTATATAAAGTGGAAACATAAGGTATACAAGATTTTACCTCAACTTTTCGTTTTTGTTTCTATACAAAGACCAATATGTATATATAGAGACCAACTTTATTGCTTTCATATAAAAGTCAACTCGCACGACATGTGTAAGTTTTGCTAAATCATTTAGTCCTCATTTTATATACAACATACCCGCGATAAACATTCACTGCAATCACTCTACAGCAAATGCATAAATTTATGCATTTTATATAACATTTTGATTCTTTAGTCAGTGCAATAATTTTATTTGAACAGTAGCCCATCTTGATAAGATGTTAAACAGAAAGTAGGCCCAAAATAAACTTACACGTAACATGAACGTAAATAACAAATATATTTAAAACACTTGCCAATATTTTTACAAAACTATACTAACCAAGAGTGCAGCACAAAATATTCATTGGAATCAACGAAACAATTATGTATCACACACATCTTAAGCAAATCATTATTTGCCTTTAAAAATGAAATACACAGATTTAAACCTTTATAAATGTAATGAAGTTGTTGATCAATTAGGAATATTCCTTTATATAAAATATTTTTGAAAAAAATTTCCTGGGTCCGACATCGTCATATTGCTGGGCGTGTAACGAGGAAAGCACTTCATATATGAGGAAGCTTCATATAAATGAAGAAATGCTTCGCATTTATAAAAGTCTGTGGCAGGTATGAGACTGCTTCATATATAAGGAAATATTTTATACATATGGGAATACTTCATTTTAATGAAATTGTTTCGTATATACAAAAATGCCTGATATGTACGAAAGTGCGTCATAATTATTAAAATGCTTTGCCCAAATATATATGTACAATAAACTTCGTCCAAATGTATATGTATGCAAATAATATGCAAATAAAGCTTTTCAATGTATACATGAAATCTCTTCATATATAGAGGAACATTTAGTTACAAACATGAAATGCTTTCTGTTCGCATTATATATGAATACTTTTCATA